GGTCGGATTTGAAAATATCGGATTTGTGCTGTTCACACTGTCATACCATGATCAGATATTGGTCGCATAGGATCAGAAAAGTCGAATTTGATGCGCTTTCGTCTGCAATGTGCACGTAGCCAAAGACAGAGGCTAACACAATAAAACAGGACTCAAATGGAAAAAAAACAGTCTCAAAGTACAAAGTGAAAACACTGGGTCAACGAACCAGAAACCCTGACAGTACAAGATCTGCATACAAATTAAGAACACCAAACACCTGACAAACTATCTTTTTCTCACACTTCACTGCCAGAGTGGATATTAGGGTTCCATAGCCTGCCAAATTTAATCTCTGAACAGGAACAACTACCAGACACTTGCAAATGCACATAACTTACATGATTTTTGCTGTCAGGTCTGGATCCACCCAATAACAGAACCTTGGTGCTCTGAGCATGACCATTCTGACATGCAAGGTGGAGAGGTGTATTTCCTGCCTGCAAACAGGAGCAGAGAGAGTATGACATTTACTGGTGTTCCCTGGAGATACTTTTGTTGCAGTGACATATACCATATATTTATATCGTCTTTTTCAGGAAGAAGTATTACAGTATAAAAACTGACTCACAGTCCTCAAGCATTCACAGACTGGCTGTATTGACAAAATTTTAAATAACACAGACAAAAACTAAACACATTTTTTACCAGCGTCTTTAGTAGAAAATGTCTTAATCTATTTTTTTTCCAAGTATAGATTATAGCCCCAGTTTTCTTTATTGCCTAAAGCCTAGTTTTTAATTTCAACGATCAAGCATATCTTTCACACTTTAAGATTTTTGTTATATTTGGTTAACTACAACAATGTTGATTAGAACTTTCAGCTAATGTATTCAGTGCTCTGATCTCAGGTTAAGTCTAGGTTCACCTTGTTTTTGGTATAAACATTGGCTCCAGCTTTCACCAGCAATTTCACAGATTGAGTGAAGCCATGCCAGGACACCTCATGGAGAGCAGTATTGCCATCCTGACAGAAGACAAAAAGGCAAATGAACAACAAACAGATTGATGTTTACAACTCTGTCAACTCAAATTGAAGAGAAGCTTAATTTTATCAAGTTTCAATTTTATTCAATTAAATTTTAGTTATGCAGTACCAAATCACAACAACAGTCACCCCTAAACAATATAAGAGTAGACCTACTAACATAAGGCTACTAACAAAGCAGCAACCACCAAATACCTGCACAGAGTAAGCCAAGTCCAGAGGAGTCAGCTGAACGAGAAGAACAACATCCAGGCAATCAACACCTACATGCTGCTAGCACATTGCTGCTGGGTTAATAAGGTGGCCAAAGAAGGAGATAGAAGCCACTGACAAGAAATTTCCTTATCATGCATGGAGGGTTTCAACTAATGGTGCAATGGATCACGGTTGATCCGTAATCCGAACCGATCTCACTCCACGGTTCGGCACGCACGTGATCCGAAGATTCGAAAAAGAAGAAAAAAATATGTGTATGGTGCGCGTGGTCAGTCTGTCAAGCGATAGCTATGGCCAGCGATAGCTATGGCCAGCGATAGCGGCTATGGCCGCCAGCGATAGCTATGGCCGCCAGCGATAGCTATGGCCGGCGATAGCGGTCCAAGTGGAGGAGCAGAGGAGTTTGCTGTATTTAAGCAGCCCTTTGCTGCCCAATCTGACCAGGCTAAAGCTATTACAAAAGCTATTGGGGTGTTTAGCTGCAGACGGTAGGCTGTACTCTGTTGTGCAAAACAAGGGTTTAAACTAGTCAACGTGTTAGTTAACGCATTGACGCCGTGCAGCCCCACGCACAGGAAGATCCGCGGTAACTAGTTAACGGAGATTTGCCGCGTCAATGCAGTTATGGCATTAATGTCATTTTAACGAGATTTACGCTATTTACGCTACACTATGATGAACGTGCTTGAGCCACGCTATGACATTCCGTTGCGCGTCCACTTCAGTGACAAGATCAGTCCAAGCATGTATGAGCAGGAAAAGTTTAAAGTTATGGCTGAACTGTCCCAGGCATCTTCTGTTGCCCTAAATACAAATGGGTGGATCTCCAGGGCAACGGAAAGCTACGTGACCATGACCGCTCATTATATCACAGCGGAGTGGTAGATAGAAAGCCCTGTACTGCCCTATATTGCATCTTAATTTGTTTTTATATAATTGCGTGGAATGATTCTTGAGTTGAATGTTTTTTAATAGGCAAAAAATACTTAAATAAGTCTTCTTTTTTTTCTGCTGATCCGAAAATTGATCCGATCTGTGAGGAAAAAAACATGATCCGATCCGAACCGTGAGACTTTTCATCAGTTGCACCACTAGTTTCAACCCAAGTCCAGCACCATTAGACTGTATGCTAAATGGAAAGAAAGAAGATTTTCAGAACCACTATCCAGAATGAAACAACACAAATCCATTAGAAAGAGTACATCAGAAAGATGAACACAACAGATAACGTGCATATTGACTATCTCAGGCAGCAGAAACACAAGAAAGAAAAGGGGCAAGAAGAGGAACCATCATGGAAGGACAGGCCCCTGGACAGCATGTACCAGCAGTAGATAAAAGAAGTGGCTGATATTGGAGGTCTCTTCTGCCAAAACCCATTTTGGTTGTGTCCACCATTGTTAAAACTTGCTTTGTGGGGGAATTTTCAGATTTCTGGAATTTTGTCTCTAACCTTACTATATAAAACATCTCAAGGTGACTGTTGTTGTGAATTGCAATTATACATTATACAAAATGTACTAAACGGAAACTAAAAAGTCTGAAAGTAGGAAGCAAAAAAGTAATTTAACAGTAAATATGAAGACAGTCAACTTTTTTAAATACTGCTTTGCAGGTTGTTGATATTAAAATACTAAACTCATGACTACAGAACAGGTTAAAAAATATATAAATATTTGAAAATATTTATGCACAGAACAAAGCCACTGTATATTTGTTTATTCAGTCTCCAAATTGTGACCATTTAAGTTTATGACTTGATGTGTAGTTCTATAGAAAAACCAAAAGCAAAAAAGTCCAGTTGTAAAGAGGTTCACAGAAAGGAGTTTATTAAATATGAATCTGAAATTATACTAAATGATCATACCTTGTCCTGTCTGTCCAGTGCGCAGCTTTCCTGGATCAGAGCATTGATAATGTCACTGTTTCCCACCACTGCTGCTCTATGTAATGCCGTCTGTTCTCCCTGTCAACAGAAATATAAAGACACAGAACTGACTACTAACACATGGTAACAACACAACACTGATTAACTGCAAAGTGTTTGAGAATCTTGTTACCCCAATTTGCAGTCCTTGCAATGATTCACACACCTCATTCAAATCTATTATTTGAATTTTGTTCAAAGCAATAGGAACTCATATCATTTTAAAATAACAAAACAAGATCATCAGATTTGAAAAATTAACATGCAACCCAGACCCATGAGGGAGGGAGGGATGGATGGCAAGATGGATGAATGGGCGGTCCGTCCATTCATCGTCATCCGTCAATGGATGAAAAGCACGACACATCAGCTATGAACACCATGCAACTGAAATGGAAGACATACCCCATTCCATCAGCTCTGCTTGTTTTACCTTGGGCGTGCAATTGGTTTATTGGCTTTACCATGAGGACTCTACGTGCCTATTACGGAGCCTTCAGTCATACCCTACCTCCATATGTGTACCCATTGCATTGGGCACTATTGCTACATGCTATGTGGGGTGAGAAGATAAAACAGCTAGCAAAAACCCGGGATCCACTAGCTCCTCCTCATTTTCAGAAATCTGGCACTGCTTAGCAATTTTGTTACTCCAACAGGACTTGATTCACAATTTTTAAAGTTACGATATATTTATATCTCTAGATATTTATATATATACACTACTAGTCAAAAGTTTGGAAACACCTTCATTTAATGGTTTGTCCTTATTTTTACCAATTTCTACATTGTAGACACATACTGAAGGTATCAAATATATGAAACAAGATATATGGAATTAACTCTCATCACTCCATTCAAACCACCTACATCTCATCTCCAGCACCAG